AAGAGAATCACGAATAGCGAAGAAACCGATCGAAACTTCGACATGGCTGCGAGAGCTTCGCCCCAGAGCGCCACATGCATCCCGTGAAGCGCCCGAGCGGCATCTTGACGAGCAGCCACGCCAGCGGGAACTGCATGACGAGCTGCGCGACGTACACGACGGAGCCGAGCCACGAGTACTCGTCGCCCTGCAGGCCCGTGTCCTCGATGAGCCCAAACACGGACGCGTACGCGAGCGTCGTCTTGTCGAGCGACTGCAGAAAGTAGACGGCCAGCATCAGCGGCAGCACGTAGAGGTCGATGCGCCGCAGCACGCGCGCGTTGTCTTGCGCCGTCACGACGAAGCAGCGCGCCTCGCCGCCTGTCGTTTGCTTGTCCGAGGCGTCGGCGTACCCGTCCCGCGGCGCCCGCTCGTCGACAAAGTCGGCGGGCATCAGCGGTTCCTGACCATCATGTCCGTCACGACCGGGGCTGCGAGAGCCGCTCGGCTGCCTGCTCTTGACGGCCATGCTGCGAGACGCTCTCGGGAATCTGGGGTCGAGAGCTAAGGGATGCTGATTCGCTCCATGTGTCCATGTGGAAAAGACTGCGGTGGAGATGGCCGTGCTATGCTCCAGGGAATGTCGATGAAGAGTGAGGTCAGAGTCGCTGGTCGAGATGCTAGGGAGGTGAGGTGGTCAAGGTGGAGATGAAGTGCAGCGTCCCAAGGCCACGGTTCCCACAGCCTGTCGCGCACTCGATGCACTGTGTGGGTACCCTCGAGCGCCTTTACCCCGAATGTCCCAGAGATGCCCCGAGGTCTGTGTCCAGCGTGTTGGCAAGGCGTTGGCATGTTGTGGTATTGAGACATGCCCTGGTATTCGAGCTCACAAAAATCCTGATATCCATTGTCAAGAGGATGCCAATGAAGAATACAGACGTCCAGGGTTTTCAGGTATCTAGATCACATAGCCTAGGGGCTTCTTCCTGGTCGTGCAGATATGAGAACTCCCTTGGCAGGCATTTCGGTAGCTATTGTGTAGGTGGTAGAATTGCATTTGTCGATACTACGTTTGCGTTCTTTCCTGTCACCCACCTCATCGCTTGAAGTTGGTCAAATTGTTTGGCTTGGGATCACATCAATTGACCCACGAGTGCGCATCATCGTGGATGCGCTGCCACGCTTTGGTACTGTAGCATAACGACGACACCTTCACATCAAAGACCACGCCTTCCAATTCTACCACCTATACAATGTTCATGTCAAGAAATCTTCTGCAACGAGTGAAGGGATCAACTGCTGGTCTCTTGGGGGTCTCCAAAAAAAATAGAATACTCGATGCCCTTTTCTAAATCGTAGTTCATTGACCTTTTTTATAATCATTCCCTTCGCTGCGCTTAGTCCTCTCTTCTTAGTCCTCTCTTCTTGTCCCTGCGATCAAATAACAGGCGATCCCCCGTCAGTCTCATACCTCCATCAGATCCTGGCAGTTCACGAGTCGAGGCACCATGATCATGGATGCTGTCCTTGTATACAAATATAAATGTCGCATTCATCACCCGTCTCGGTTTCGCTTTTTAGACTTTGGTCCACCAACTCAAGGGAATCACATGAGTTCCAGCTTGGGAATCATGGTGCAAACTTGTGGTGAACTCAATCATGTGTTTACAAGTGCGGGCAAATACAGCCTTCGGTATAGAGAATCCTTGTCATTATACGACATAGCGACCACATGAAGGTTTGTTCTGGGTTCGGAAGCCAGGTGCCCTATTATATTGTACGTCAAAAACCCCCAGTGAAGGACGAATCCGATGCCCAGACGACTACACCTTGCGTATCCCGAACAAGCTTCCAGGCATCAGTAATCAATCCTTCGCCCGGGGCAAACCCATTTGCTCTTGCAATAGAGCCAAGACAACCTTGCTTGGGTCCAGCTTTACTTGTCGTCCCTGTGCCCGGTTTGGCTTCCGCAGAGCTTGGCAGCACACCACAACGGGCCATTGACTGTGTCGACGTACACAGTAAGACGTGAACAGTCGCGAGGTTGGCCGCCATCTCATTTGATCTTCATTCACAACCCCTCGTGGCTTTATGTATTTCCTGATCTGACTGAATCCCGTCGGCGCCCGGAGCGCGCACAGATCCGGTTCGATGTCCATAACTGGGGCCCCGACGCCTGGAGCTGCTTCTACCATTCCCAACGGACTAGATAGATCTTGATATGAATCTGGACAGGCAGGTTACCCTCGACGTGCCAAGTAGGTGCCCAAGCGCGTTTGCTACCAAGGCCTAGGTAGTCTCTACTGTGTGCCTTGCTCAACTACCCCCGCGAGCCCTATTCCTATCCAACCACACGTTTTTGAATTCAAAGCGTGCTGCACCATCAGAGACGAATCGGGATTAAACTTCCAACAGTCTGCGCTCCGTCCGCGCCGGGGCCCGCAACGAATGCCGCCAACGTGACATCGTGCAGGGACAACGTAACCTCCCTGCGCAAATCATGAACTGCCAGCCTTTGACACGAATATACGGAAACCTTCTCCTCACGCTCTTGCTGAGACACATGCCCCCGCTCTCTAGCATAAAACATGTGCGATCGTTCCGATCAGCAACGGCGCAATCTAGTCGTATTTCGGCGACTAATTCTGCCCAAAGTACCTGTATGGGTAGGTAGAAAACCCTCCGTTTCCTGCCTTGTCGATCAATCCGTGTCTCACGTCAGATGCAGTAAGACAGGCAACCTTCAGAGCACTTGGTCCAATCGACGCCTGCTACTGTCAGCCACGTCCTGTAAGCTGGGCCTCGACCGAGCCCTGCTGTACGCGTGGTCGCTGGGTTGATGAGTGGCCGAGAAATCCTTCCACCACTCTCAACTGCAGGGAACCAGACCCGAGCATCCGGGCACAACAAGGGTGGTGATCCGCGTGTATAAAGCGCTGATAAGCTCCAGCACATCTGGGCAACACGCGGCGGTCTAGCTTCTCATCACGTCTTGTTGACAAGCGCTCACACAACGCATCTTCCGGCGGCGAACCATGTGGTCGCCCAGCCCCGTCACCGTCGCGGGCTTCACAGCCCCGGGCCATGTCGCCCTCGTGGCCAAGGTTTTGATAGCAGTCGTCTTCCTCCTGCTGTTTCGCCAATTCATGCTGCCGAGGCCCATTCCTGGCATCCCCTACAACAAGCACGCGGCCAATCGCATTCTGGGGGACGTTCCGGACATCATCAGCTCCGGCGACCGTCGCGAATGGTTCGTGAGCCAGGCCATAAAACACAAGTCGCCCATGGTCCAGTTCTTCACGAGCCCCTTTCGTCCGCCTGTCGTTTTTCTCTTTGATCACCGCGAGGCGCAGAACATCTCTATGCGCCGCATCAAGGAGTTTGACCGGAGCCTCCTGACGCGTGATGTCTTCAGCATCGCCGTCCCGCACCAGATGCTCGCCCTCCAATCCCGCAATCCCCAGCACAAGAAGAACATGTCCCTCGTCCGCGAGCTCATGACGCCAACCTTCCTCCGCCAGGTCTCGGCCCCGCACATCCACGAAAAGATCCTCTGGCTGCTCGACCTCTGGGCGCAAAAGGCCGCCGTCGCCGACGGCCGGCTCTTCAACGCCAACACCGACGTCCACCACGCCGCCCTCGACATGATCATGGGCGCCTCCTTCGGCTTCGAGAAGCACCAGTCGCAGCTGCAGGTCAAGCTCGACAGCCTGCAGCGCGAAAAGACATCCCTGCCCGCGCCCAAGGCCGCTGGCGGCGGCGGCGACGACGAGGTCCTCGAGTTCGACGACCCGCCCATGCTGCGGGAACTGCAGGCCTGCAAGACCATCGCTGACAGCATCGGCGTCAACCTCAAGTCGACCGTGCCCGTGTTCAACGCCTGGTTCTACCGCAACATCGTCCCCAGCATGCGCGGGGCGCTCAAGACGTATCGCGGCATGGCGCGGCGCGAGATCAGCAAGAGCCTCGAGAGACTTCATGCGGGACATCCGGACCGCAGTGCCATGGACCAGCTACTGGCCCGCGAGGACGTCTTGGCGAAGAAGGAGGGCAGGAAGCCGGACTATTACAGCGAGGTGATCATGGATGAGGTATGTGCTTTTCGTTTGTCGCGGTGCTCTTTCTTCAACGTGCATCCCTAACACACCACCATCGACGCGGCTTGAACTTGTCTGACGTGCCGCAGCTTCTGGGCTACCTCATCGGCGGCCACGAAACGACATCCTCCGTACTGCAATGGGGCCTCAAATACACCACCGCCGACCAGCGCGTGCAGAACAAGCTTCGCCAGACGTTCTACAAGCAGTGGCCCCAGGCCAAGGCCGAGGGGCGGCTCCCGACGTTGGAAGAGATGACGGATCCGACGGTATACATCCCCTACCTCGAGGCCTTCATGCAGGAGAGCACCCGTCACGCCAAGGCCCTTTCCATCATGAGCCGCCAGGCGCAAGTCCCAACCACTGTCCTCGGCGTGTCCCTTCCCGCAGGAACCAATGTGACCTTCACGAACAACGGGCCCGGCTACTTCTCGGCCCCGATCGAAGTGGACGAGGAGAAGCGCCACGAGTCGTCCCGTGCAACCAAGGGTAAAATTGGCGGCGAGCACGACGATAAGACGATCACTGACTTTCTGCCGGAACGGTGGATCAAGACCAAGGCGTCGTTCGTCGACGGGCGCGAAGTCGTGGAGGAGACATTTGACGCCAACGCAGCGCCATTCCTGAGCTTCGGGGACGGTCCGCGCATGTGCTTTGGCAAGAGGCTGGCGCTGCTGGAGATGCGTCTTTTCTGGGTCATGCTGCTGTGGCAGTTTGAGCTGCGGCCCATCGCGGAGGCGCGCAACCGAGACCACGAGGAGGCGGTTTTCCTGACAAGGATCCCGAAGCATGCGTATCTGCGGCTTAAGAAGATTGACTACGAGAAATCGTAAGGGCAACCTGTTTAGGTCATGCTTTCATGAAATCACCTCCACTGCTGAACTTGAAAAACGTGACCGCCTGCAAATCGAATAGTTGATCGGTTCAATGCCAATCTCGTGTGCCCCTGTTCACGAGCCTCACAGTAGGGATTCTGTCCAGTAGAGCTTGCCATCCCGACCGAATCTTGGCAATCTCTGTTCAGGTGCTTGTGAACTCCTACGGGTACCCAAATTCCTCCTGTTCTCTCGCTCTCCCCGTGGAACATTCAGATCAGTCCAGAACTCGTCCAATATCCCTCTCCAATCTCTAATTCCATCCTTTTCCCTTGCTCCTCTCTTGAAGCTTGTCTTCCTAAAGCTCACAAACCAGACCATGAACCACCAAATTGCACTTCCTAAGGATGACACTGCAGCGGCCCAGCTCACACCCAGAAAGCCTCCTCCTCTCCTAATCTCCAGTCCAACACCCACTCCCAGCTCCCTGAGCGCCGAAGAGCCGATGAGAATCAGCCCTGTCGTCACTATCGCAAACAGGGGCAGCGACAGACCCCCTAGGACAGAAGCAAGTAAATTGTTCCGCACCAACCACCGCCGCGGTGCCACTATTACGGTCAAGGTCGACACAACTACTGATGTTCCCGCCGCAAGGGCAGAGATGATGAGCAGCGCAAGCAGCGCCTTTGCACCCCTTGTAGCAAGGCGCAAGACCGCGTCCAGCGTCGATGACAGCGCTTCAGCAAGGGGTATAGAAATATTGGCGGGTCCGAGGGTCAACGTTGAGGGAATAGAGGTCGCGATCCGTCGAAGGCCTGCGCTGTCAGCATCAGTCTCACATCAGCTTCGAAGATACATGGCGTACCCGCGGACTTCTCCTCATATAGTATACAGTTGTCGAACGCCAATGCGCTTCCGGCGCTCTCGGATGCGTAATCTCCCTCGCACCAACAGACCGTAGGCGTCCCGCATTCCCAATCGCGAAGTCAGATTTCCGACCAATGCACCTTGCAGATCCTGCACCCCATCTCCTAAGCCGTTGATATGATCATCTCGGAGGTCGCCGAAAAGACGCTCGACTAGTGGACTAAGGGGCTTGTCGCTTCGCGAGGTATCGACTGGCGTGATTTCGACCAGATTCTCTCCAAGCCGGGAAGTACTCAGGGCGAGCCAGAAATAAGTCGAGCTTGTGACCGGCGAAGAGCCCGCAACGAGGAGCAGCACTGACAAAGCGAAAGCGACAGCCGCAAAAGAGAGAGGTACGAAAGCAAGCAGGCGATTGACAGGTGGCTTGGTGACCTGGTAATGCCACGGACGAGGTGACCACACGAGTCGAAGAGTTGCTCTCAATGCCAAAGCCGGCCAGCCCCCCTTTTTCAACAAAACTGATTTCCATCCCATCTGCGAAACACCACGGGGACTCATAGGACTACCTGTACCAACGCATGAACTTGGAAATCCACTAGGATATGGAATGAAATGGCAAGTCCGGGCTGAGTCCAGGAATCACCCAAGCGTCACCGGCTACTTCTTCTAAGGAGCCAGACCTACGCGACCAAAAGTCGGGTTTAAAACATCATGATTAGATGAAGACTTTGGAAGTAGAGGATATATGAAGGACCCATCAACTTGATTCATGTCTCGTCTGATGTCTAGATGATGCACGAGCCTGAGGGCCTCACATCATAATACAATTGACCTGGGCTGCACCGCTTCTTGTCACGGCATTGCCTGCAGCAGATCATAAACGCCGTCCTGAAGTTCTGGTGTATTCCCACAGCGAATTTCATGGAGAACATCCATTTGAAAGGAAGAGCCATGTTGAACAGCTAGACGGATGAGAAAATATGTAATAGGTAGAAAAGGACGATGAAGAATACCAAAGACCCCTTTCTAGCTTGAACCCCAACTATAGATACACCGTTGCCTGATGCCTTCTGGCCCTCTCTTTGAGACTTATCCATTGCCCCTCTTGGATTCGAATCCACGGCCTCTGTATCAGCCGGGTCACCGCAATCTTAACAGCTGCTGACTTTGCAGTGGGCGTCCATATAATGTTGAATAGCCTGTCTATCAGTCCAGACAGGTCCACAAATTCATTCCTGCTGCTAGGTACACCAAGGGCCTTGTTCGAAGTCTCGTCCGTCTTGCTTGCCGGTTCCGCGTCGACCTCATTATTTGGTCTGGGGTGATGATGGGCGTACTAGTTCCAGGGGTGTTCCCTCCAGGCGACATGATTCAAAGAAAAGGCTGCGAGGTGAGGTTGAGCGCCTCCACCTCTCAGATCATCGTAAGATCGGTTGTATTGGTTGTTTTCTGTCTCGCCCACGACTAGGTTGCTGCGAACAGCCCTTATACCTCTGACTTGTCGCAGCTCCATACCTCCGAGGGCGGGAAGCTCATACTCGTATGGATGAGGGTTATGGTGGAGAAGAGTTTCCCGAATATCACCTTTTCTGGCACTCCTTTCCTGCCAGAAGAGTGGCTGGCGACCAGTGGAACACGAAGCCAATGCAATATCCTATTGTCTCTCCCTGGAATCTCGACATATCGACGAGCGATGTTGCAAAGCTTCTCGCAGGATTCCTACCCGTTGAGATGGAAGACCGATGGATGACCATGCGGAGGGCCCAAACCACAACGGGAGCTTCGCGGTCTACGTTTACCGAAGCGGGGGTTGTCAAGAACAATTTCGGATCAACGCACAAGTTGAGTCGCTCAACGAATCCGTGAAGAATGCGTCGGACTCTCAGGCTGAGGTTGTGAGCATTAGCTGGCAAAATGGTTCTGTACACTCGACAGAGGAGGAGGCGAAGAACACGGCAGTTCTGGCCTGTAATGGAATCCTGGGCTGCGAACTGGATCATGCGGCTTGACCATGGTCGGAAGAATACTTAGAACGCACATGGCAGTGAAAGTAGTGAGAGACTTGTACATTGATCTTGGTCGACAATTTGCATGTCGGTTTTCAGCTTTGCTGACACGGCGGAGACGGTCCTGTTCAACCGAGTTAATAATTCCGGCACACAACTACAGCTGCTCGAGAGTCATCATCCTAGACAATTACTAGTAGTTGTCCCATGTCGAGCTGAAAATTGGACCTAAAGGAAAGTGATGTGCTACAGTCTCCTATCTTCGACAGGCACTCCAAATTGATCTTCAGCGTGATTGGGTCACTTGCGTGGCGAAGACCCCTGACGCTCTAATGCTCAGAACTGCGCACTTTGCCAGGACTGGCCGAATGTCGTGTGAGAGCGGTTCTGTCGATGATCGAGCTACGCTCGCGACTAGGACTGTAGCCCTCGCGCGCAGAATTTCTCCATGCTCAACTGCCGAGCAGTCGAATAGAGTGACAGTGCATGCCAGCATAGGGAGAGAGCCCGTACTTATGGCCTTCATCTTGCTTAGCGCCTCGTTCGAAGCCTCTATTTTGTGTTCAACACTGTTTCATTGGTCCCGGGGAAGATTCTTGTCTCTTGATAGACCAAGCAACATGCTTGTTGATGATATTAAAGAGATATGCAAGCCCTGAAGACTTCGTGTTGGTGAGTGCTTCAGGCAAGATTAGAGGGTGGATTGGAGTCCCCATGAACAACAGAGAGATTGTGAAACGTAAATGCGCTAGCCAAATAAGCAGGGAGGGAGGCAGGTAGGTAGGTATGTAGTGACCTAAGTGTACCCATGTACGGGACAGCGCTCAGCTGGTCGACTCACTGCCGCTGGTTGAGGGACTGATACATGACTATCGATCCGCGGGTTGTTACCTGCCTAGGATAGGTTTTCAAGGTGGACACTTCACATGAACCATTGGGTTATGTGGTAAGAGATCACTACTTGTTGATTGCTTTACCGCCGACTACACTATACCTAAAAAGATTGGTTTTGCGGTAAGACGCAATGGCGTTGGACAAGTGTGCTGTTTCAGGCAAATGATCCAAGAATTCAACAACCCTCGCAGGCCAAGGACAGAAAGAGTGTTATCACGTGTTCAGGTCCTTGATGGCTATGCGCGTGGAAGGCTTTGGAGCGGCCAGAACTGCCCAGTTAGCGGTGGACGTCCTACATGCCACTGAATCAAGTTTCAGAAGGTTGACAAGTTATCAGCAACCTGTCGCAACACAATATCGCAGCACAACTCTTGTAGTCACAGAACACAGGCTTGAGTTTTACTTCATCTATCTTCCTCAGCCTTCGACCTATCTCTGCTCGGATTGATCTTCCGTCCCATTGACCTTCGTACCTTCTCTCGCAGCCTCATGGTCCTTGACGCCAATTTGTCGGGCAAACACTACCATGGGTCAGCATTCTAAGGGAACATATGGCAGAGAAAGACCGTAGACTCACAAGTTTCCATCTCTTCCAGCGACTTCCCCTTCGTTTCCTTGATAAAGAACCACACGAAGACAACGAGCGCCCAGTTGAATATGGCAAACATTAGGAACGTGCGCCAGCCGAGATTTTCCACCGCGTGAGGCGTGACCTGCGAGAAGACGAAGTTGAAAAGCCACTGCGTTGATGTACCAATTGCGATACCAGCCTCGCGGATGCGCGTCGGGAAGATCTCGCCCATGTACACCCATGGCACGGGGCCCCAGGAAATGTTGTAGCTCATGGCCTCGAGGTAGATCATTGTCAGGGACGCAATCGACGGCGGCGTCAGGCCTTGGTCTGGGTTCGGTGGGAACGTGACAGTCAGGACAGCGACTATGAGCATGTACATGCCCATGAGGAAAGCGCCCAGCATCAGTGAGCCGCGGCGCCCGATGCGCTCAACGAGGAATAACAGAAAGAAGAGACAGGCTACAACCTTGCAGACGCCGAAAAAGCCAGTAAGAAGCAGCTTGTTCTGGCCGGCGCCGACGAGCGAGAAGATTTGGGGTGCGTCTGGACACGTTAGAGATGCATTGGACAAGGCAAGTGCTAGCCAAACTTACAATAGGCCATCGATGTGTTCCCGGTCAGTTGAACGCCTATACATCGCCGTTAATAAAACAATAAACGGAATCGATCAAGGATCCAGCTCGGTTGACCCACCGATCTGCAGAGCAATGATGAGAATCACGCGCCATCTGTTGATGGGTTGCAGAAGCTCTTTCCAAGTGACACCGGATTTGACACGATCTTCCTCTTCAATGCCCGCTAGGATCTCGGCCCATCTGTACATTGTTAGTCTTCCTCGCCACATGATGCACATGAAAGCACTTCTTACTCCTCCTCAACGTCTGGAGAGTCTCCTCCGCGAACCCAGACCAAGGATGCTAGGGCCTCCTCCATCCGACCTTTCTTCGCGAGCCAGCGAGTGCTTTCTCTGGTAAACAGCATGCCCAGGCCAAGGATGGCGCCTGGAACGAGTTGCAGGCCGACGGGAACTTGCCACTGCGCTGTCACGTCGTCCATGTGCTTTTCAACGGCGTAGTCGATCCAGTACGAGGTCATGACACCATAGTGAAGAAGAATTGAAACATGCTGCCGAGGGTGCCGCGGATGTTCTTGGGCGCCATCTCGGCCGAGTACATGGGGATGATGACCGTGGCCATGCCAACGCCGATGCCGCTGATGACGCGGGCAGCGTAGAATGCTCCCAGCGAGTGGGTGTTAATCGTTTGGATGACGGCGCCGATATTGAAGATTATCGAAGCAAGAACGATAGACCAACGACGGCCAAAGCGGGCTGTGAAAGGCCAGACGAAAAAGCAAGCGAAAAAAGCTGAAGACGTGTTATTAAGTTTGTTTGCCTCCTGGGCTGCCGCTCATGTTGGCACCACGTTGGCAGGGGATGATTTCAAGGCCCCTACATACCTCCAGCTTGTAAAAGACTGGTCGAGTTAGACCCGACGGTTGCTCGATCTTTCTCTTCATAACGAAAGTCCCTTCGAAAACTGGGAAAGGTGAGGATGCCACCGACGATACCTGTGTCGTACGCGAACAAGAATGAGCCGACACAGCAAAGCGCGACAAGGTAGACGGCTCTGAAAGTGCCCAAAGCTTTCGACATGATGGCTGAAGCGGCTGCGAAATTAACTAGCTTATAATCACGATTTGGACCAAACAGTTGGCTGCCTTGGTGTTCGAAATCGACTCTTAAAGTCCAGGAGGTAAATGTTCACCCTGGCTGCGTACTTTGCCTTCCCTTTTGAAGTCTGCCCGAAAGCTCCCAATCCCAGTTGATGTCGCCTTCGAAGCCGTAAACCTGCGTTCAACAGTCATGGCCAACATATCCAGGGCGAGGAAACCCGAATGTTTAGGCCAGGGCTTGCATGTTGACATCTCCCCGGCGTGTTGATGAGCACGTCATATCTCGAATTGCTGAAGAGATTGCAGTGGTTGACTGGACCTGAATTATTTCGCCATGGCGTGCGACCCGGGTGTCGGCCGGGAGTCCCAGATAGACCTAGCGGCCCGGCCGTTGAAAACACCATACTTGTTCTGAGAGCGGGGCCGACTACCGACGTCGGGACCGGTAGTCGGTCACGTAGGGCTGTCAAGTTAGGCATGCGTCTACAGTTTGCCCCTAATGCTAGCCTAGCTTGTGCATGGCAGCTCGCCCGGAAGACTCAACTAGGCGATGGGATTCGAGTCAGAAGTCATGGAATATGACATCTCCTAGACATTCATAATAAATGAGTGTATTGAGGTCATTGACGAGGAAGTCTTTCTTCTTCCAACTGCTGCCCATTGCGTGCTCCTTTGGCTACAGCTTCGAAATCGCCTTGCCCGACATGGCGGCTTCCCGGCCCAATATTGTCTTCATCATGGCTGATGACCATGCTTCAAAAGCCATCAGTGCATACGGGGCAGGCATCAACCAAACGCCCAATATCGACAGGTTGGCGATTGAGGGTATGAAGTTCAACCACTGTTATGTCACCAATTCGATCTGCACCCCATCGAGGGCCGCCATCCTGACCGGAACGCATAACCATGTCAACGGCGTTATGACCCTGGACAACAAAATCAACAAACATATGCCTAATGTTGCCAAGCACCTGCGGGCCGGCGGCTACCGAACCGCCATGGTTGGCAAATGGCACATGGGCGAGGGCGCCGCTCATGAACCGACGGGATTCGATTACTGGTCCATTCTACCGGGACAAGGCGACTATTGGGACCCCGAGTTCATCGAGCCGAGCGGCGAGCGGACGGAGATTGGGTACGTCACCGATATTATCACTGACAAGTGCCTCGACTGGGTCACCCAAACCAGAGACATGGACAAGCCCTTTTTTGTCATGTGCCATCACAAGGCACCCCATCGGTCGTGGGAGTGTGATGACAAGCACAAGGGCCTTTATGCCGATAAACCGATCCGCGTGCCGGAGACGTATGATGACGATTATAAGAACCGCGCCAAAGCGGCCAAGGTGGCCAAGATGCGCGTGGCGGAAGACTTGACGTACCAGGACCTCGGCCTCGTACAGCCAGATGGGGGCAATCGCGTTGGTGAGAGGGTCGTTCAAGAGTCTGGCTCGAGCCAGCGCAAGATTCCCACCGACGCAAGTTTCCTTATCGACAAGGAAGATGGAACTGTCTTCCGCTTCCAAGACAGCAAAGAGCTCGCTGAATTCAAGTTTCAGCGGTACATGCAGAGATATCTGCGTGTGATCCAGTCGGTCGACGATAACGTCGGTAGAATCCTCGACTACCTGGATGAGAACAATCTTGCGGACAACACGATGGTCATTTACACTTCAGACCAGGGGTTTTTCTTGGGAGAACATGGATGGTTCGACAAACGCTTCATGTACGAAGAGTCGTTTCAGATGCCGTTCTTAATACGGTATCCGACTGAGATCGCCAGAGGCTCGGTTTGCGACGACATCATTTGCAATGTAGACTTTGCGCCGACGTTTCTTGACTTCGCAAAGCTGATAACGCCGAGCTACATGCAAGGACGGTCCTTCCGGCCACTATTGCAAGGTCAGACACCGTCGAATTGGCAGCAGGTCGCGTATCACCGTTACTGGATGCACAATGATGTGATCCACCAGGCGTATGCGCACTACGGGGTGCGAGACCAGAGATACAAGCTGATCTACTGGTATAACGAGCCCCTGGATGTTGCCGGCGCGAGGCCAGGGGCGGCAGACGAGAAGGAGTGGGAATTGTTCGACTGCGAGAAAGATCCTCTCGAGCTCTTCAACGTATACCACGAGACAGAATACCAGTCTGTAGTGACGGCGATGACGAAGCTGCTGGAGCTCAAGATGGCGCAAATTGGCGATGATCCAGTTCACTTAGGAACGCCATGAATATATCGGAAAGAAGTATCACAATGAAGAAGGCCGTCACCGAGGGAAACAAATGACAGATGACAGATGAAATGGGAGGGGGAAAGAAACCGCCTGGCAACAATTGTCAAATGTGAGGAGAAATCTTATCAGAAATGCACTGTGTTTGGCCGCAACTTGGGTCGCTGTAAGGCAGAGACTGTGGCGCCTTGAACCATGACTCTGGCAGGCAAATACAGTTCAAAGAACAGTGCGATTATGCAGCGCGACGACGCTAAAATGGTGACATTGCCCTCCACTCTCACGACAATCGTACCTACCTCCTAAGGTACCCTGAGCTCCTTCTCAACCCCAGTCTCGCAAGTTGCTTCTTCTACGCCGTCCATGCGCTCATCATTCATCACGACGTGGGCCTCAGAATGACCTCCTCATCGAATACGACATGTCTCGCTGATGCACCTGAATTTGCTTCCATCAAATCACCTTTCAAACCAGTTTGGGGGAGTTAGATCTGTGGTCAAGGGTTGTTCCCTCAACGATACCTGGGTACACGCCCACCTACCTATATCCAGTCTTGTGTCGTGATGGAGTCGCTCGTGGGATGTTTCGATTCCAGCACATCGACCACTGCTCGTGAGACCTGTTCTCAATGCAGGTATCGCAAGGTACGTGCTTTGTGAACCGAACACTTATTCTTGCCCTCCCTTTCAAGTGCCCTCCCTTTCAAGTGCCCTCCCTTTCAGGTTCTGACTATTGACTCCACCAGGTACGATGTGATCGTCGAAACGGCACATGCACCAATTGCGAGCGCCTCAGATTGGCTTGCTCGTTGGCTGCTTCACCACAAGGGCTCGATCATACAGCTCTTCGCAGCAAACCTCGCAGGTTACGTGGTAGCGTTGCTTGCGTTGCGTGTCGCGAGAAAAAAATCAGGTGTTCTGCCACGACTCCTCAGTGTTCTAACTGCAAGCGTCAAGGTCGTTCTTGTGCCTATCCAACCTCGAAGCGCCCCCTGCGAAATCATGCAGCACCATCTGTCGCCTCCTCTACTTTGAGCCAGGCATCTCCTGTGGGCCATGGAGACATCCAAGGCGTTCCAAGTCCGAGCCATCCCATCACAGAAGAAATGCTGGTCCTCGTTGACGCCTTTTTTGAGAACATATACCCTCTGCCATCCTACGCCTTCCTACACCCCGAGACGACAAAGCGAAGGTG